AATAGTGATTAAACTATTTTTATTTCACTATTCAATTGCGATTATATTTATTTTGATATGTTTCTGTCAAAGCAGCTGAGTAAGAACTTCGAATTTCATTATTTTAGTTGGCAACGCCGTTGATAGTTGCCATCGGATTATAGCATACCAATTTTCGGAGCGGAGCTACGAATTCGTAACTACGAACTTTCAGATTATAGCATACGGGTGTAAGTTTTTTTTTTGTAAAATTGCATGGATTTTGGATAAATAAATGAAGGTGTACTATATTTAGTACATTAAGAAAATATGCATTGTATTTTTTCGTTATATCACGGGATTTCTCTTCACGAAGTTCTTGCTATATTAGGTGAAGATGATGCAAATGCAATGTTGGCACAACCTCTGAGAACAAAATCATAGAGCTGTTTATAGTTCTAATATATTTTAAATAGATTTGGATCATAAAGTTTCTTAAATATATTGTATGTCAAAATAAATTCGAAAGACGGCACTTAAACTCTCTTAAACGTATTTTGCTCCTGGCCAGTTTTCTAAGCTCGCATCCTCTGACGAATCGCTCAACCAGAACTCCGTTGTACTGGCCTCTATTATGAGTTGCATTCGATCTTCGACTGTGGTCGAAAGTGCTGATCGAACGAATTTTCATTTGGTATTCTGGCGCTCATTCGATGAAGAATAGCGCTATTGTGAATTTCGCTCTTTTAGGTTGTTCACAATAGTATATTTTTCACTGCTGATAAGCTTTGTTTATACATCGAGCAAACTAAATAGTGTGGTTATACATATGTAAATTTGTGCAAATAAAAATGAAATTTAAAAAAAGCGAGTTTATAAAGACGTGGTAAAAGAAATTTTAATTAGTACAACGGAGTTCTGGTTAAACGATTCGTCAGAGGATGAGAGCTTAGAAAACTGGCCAGGAGCAGATAACGTTTAAGAGAGTTTAAGTGCAGTCTTTCGAGTATATTTTGACACAATAAATTAAAACTATAAACAGCTCTATGATTTTGTTCTCAGAGATCGTCCCAACATCGTATTGGGATTTTCTTTCATAAGTTAAATCAGACTTTCGAGCTTCTGTTTAGTATTCACGACGTTAGAATTGCATGAAATTAATAAAAATTGTTTAAAATTAGTGTCGAGCCGCCAAAAAGTAAGAAAACACATGCAAAATCATACATTTTTCACTATTTGCTAACACTTCGCTACACCAACGAAAGCAAAATTCTGTTCGACCAAAAATTCGATACTCAACGAAAAGTTCGATACGCTTGCATAGCTCAAAATACGAATTTATAAACGCCTTTATAAACTCGCTTTCTTTTTTATTTCATTTTAATTTGCACAAATTTACATATGCACATATATATAAGCACACTATTTATTTGGCTATATTTGTAAACAAAGCTTATCAGCAGTGAAAAATATACTATTGTGAACAACCTAAACTAGCGAAATTCACAATAGCGCTATTCTTCATCGAATAAGCGCCATAATACTAAAGAAAATTCGTTCGATTAGCACTTTCGACCACAGTCGAAGATCGAATGCAATTAATAATAGAGGCCAGTACAACGGATATAATTCGCTGAGACGTACCTAGCTGAGAATCAACGACGATTTAGCACGGCTATAAATAGTGACGGACAAACAGAAACTATTCAGAACGAAAAATTACACTGAAGATGGCACAACGCCGAAACCGGTTTGTCTCTATATCGTGTTATGATATCAAATTAAAAAATAGTATTACCTTCTTGTTTGAAAGTGTATTATTGAATAATCAAAAATTTTCTTTTTGATAACAAACAAATTCATTGAAGCATAAATTGAACATAAAGGATTTAAACAAGTATAAAAACATATAGGTAAAATACCCTATATATAGTCCCCCTCCAGTAAAACAATAAATTAATTAATGTAAAATGTTATTTTCTTTTTTGTGTTTGGAATTATTAGTGAATTAGATTTTTTTGTTGTATCAGAAATTATATTTGCAGGTTTGAGTAAATCTATTGAAACCGTTTTAATCATATTTCCATGTTGAATTTTGGATACTTTGTAATTTTTCGAAATAATTTTAAATGGTGAATGCAAATTTGACTTGTGAATAACTTTAACAAAAACGTACAAACAAGTATCCAAACTTTTAGGAACAAAAGAGTATTCTTTATTGTGATGTACAACCTTTGATCTAACATTTGAAAAATGTTTTCTTATCTTAGAAAGAGTTTCATCTGTATTATCAACTTCATTATTATAACTTTTCGTAACAACTAATTCACCTGGTAATCTTAATGTTTGTCCATAAACATATTCTGCAGAAGAGCATTTTAAGATTTCTTTGATAGACGTACGTAGTCCTAATAATATCCAAGGAATAATTTCAGACCAGTGAATAGAATCATCTGAAGCAGTAATAGCAGTCTTTAATGTCCTAGAAATCGAATGCAACTCATACGACATACAACAATACGACACTTACGACGCACACTGGTCCCAAATCAAGAAATTATGGAATTACGCAATTATAAGTAACTTTTATTCTTACCAACTTTGTAAAATATTGCCTACTTTTTAAGAAAACAATTATTATTTTCTTTTTTATATGGAGAAAAACACACTTTTAGAATTTTAAAGTGCACTTACCACGGATCCGAAATGCGGCTTATGGTACATTGTAGGGAGTATTACTGTCCACAGTTTCTCTGCGACCCTAAAAAATAGACACTTAAAAAAATTTAACAGCAATATTAAAACTAAAGGTATTATAGGATTAATTACAGTAAATATCACAATAAACTATAACTTTAGACTATCTTTGGATCTGAATCCGGTAGAGATTCGTTTTACTTTGTATGCGGATATTTCTCGTGGAGATTTTGAACCTTTTTTTAAACGTTTAAGTTTCTTCCGTCAGACATATGTATGCATTTTAAAATACAGGTAGTTTATATGTAAGTCGCTATATCATAACATACACTAAGTATAATATAATCTATGGCCTTCAAATAGTTACACAGAATAAAAAAATTACCGATCGAGCCTTGGTTTCACAATTTCCTTGAAAAGGCGAGCAAATGCTTTTGTGTGCAAATACCCTTTTTCTAGGAGTATGTTGAGATCTTGTAAAAGCTCTCTACCTACCCTTTGTTTATTTACCATTAATAATCGCTTAGTATATGCTAAAAGCATTTTAAGGAAAATAGAAAACAACGGTGGTTTTAAAGGCGTTTCAGGTGGGAAAACTACTAGTATTCTCACGAAAAGGAAAAAATAAACCTTTCCAAATTCTTCGAAACCTTTAAAGGTATATGCAGGGTTTGAAAAACTGCCAGCAACAGCATTACTATTTTTGCTTTTGCTTAGCTTTAAAATCTTCGATTTTGATTCGAACTGCTTTGCTTTTGCTGTAACTTTGAAAAGTCTATTTAGTTTTTTTTTTATCTGCAGTTTATTTAAACAATTTAATTGCTTTCTATTTGCTGTGATAGTGCTTTTGCTGTGCTGTTATCTGCTTGGCTGTGTTAAACACATGACGTTTTTGCAGCATGGTATATTATCTAAGTACATATTAACTCCGCCATCAATGCAAAGCTTATCAGGGTAAGCGACTAGTGGATTTGCGCTCGCATACATATAATATCCTCTATTTCTGCCAATTCGATGCTTCGCAGCAAATTTATAGTCAAATTGCTGTTGATTTGCTGCTGCTGCGCTGTCTTTGTGATTCCACAATTTGCTTTCGAAATTTCATAGCAAAACGGCAGCCAAAGCATTTGTGTTTTTCTGAATTGCTTTTGCTTTGCTTTCGATATCATATATGCCGAAATCAAAGCACCGCAAAAGCAAATTAAATAAAAATATTACAGCATTTTCAAACCCTGGGTATATGCAAACATTGAATGACATTCCTACTGAATATCTAGTCCCAAATCAAGAAATTATTCAATTAGGGCCGAGATTCCAAGAATCGATCTGATTTCTTTTCTGTGGACTTTTATTATAAGCAATTTTATAAAATATGGCCTACGTTTTAAGAAAAAAAGATAAGTCTACGACTTGAAAGGATACAGGAACCCAATAAAAATTTTAACTGCAATAGCAAAATTAAAGGCATTAGAGAGTCTTTAACCGGGTTAATTACAACTAAGAATACAATAAACTATAAATTTAGACTGGCTATGCAACTGGATCCGGTAGAGATTCATTTTCGATTTCACGCAGGTCGTATGGAAATTAGTCATTGAGCATTTCCACTGCATCTGTAAACATCTCTTGACTTTTCACTTTACTAAATTTTGGTTTTATGTGCGTTATATAGGGACCTGAACTTATCAAAAAGTTGTGCAGCATATCTTCGTTGGTTTGTATTCGGCCAATCTTTCGCGAATGTCTTTCCCTGACCGCTCGAAAATCTTTATTTCGTGCTTCAGAAGCTTCTTCCGACAGCAATCCAATTGGTATAAAGGAGTAATGTTGGCAAATATCTGCACCATGCACTAATAGCTTATGAACACTAGCAGGCATGTGGTACCAAGGGTACAAGCTGGCATATAGTTCCGCTGTTTCTTTGCAAAATCGTCTAATTTTTTCTGTTTCAATATTTCTCCCGGAGAATCATCGCCACGCACAAGACGCAATGGCACACAACTGACCATAAAAGCAGAAGACTCATTTGTAATGTCACTTGTAACCGGCTTTTGTTAACCGACTTCCAAAAAAGGAGGAGGTTATCAGTTCGTCGGAATATTTTTATTTTATTTTATTTGTTTTTTTTTTTTATGTATGTTACCGCATAACTTTGGACCACATCAACCGATTTTTCTTAATTATAATAATAATTCTTTATATTCTAATTATAATAACGATAATTCTTTTTGCATCGGAAAGGTAGTGTTTCAGAGGTGATCCCATACTAATCTGGTTAAGATCCGATCAGCGGATCATGAGATATATATATATATTTTTTTTTTTATATGAGAGTTGAAGTCGGTTTTTTTTTGCTAAAAATTACTTGTTTATAACAGCTCTTTGATGATGCACCATCCATCCCGTATTTGCCAACAAGTTTCATAACTTCACCGTTGTCATTTATATCTGCCACTCTCATGATTTTTTCAGCTGTTAAATCCAAAATTGGTTGTAGTTTTATCTGTGCTCCTGATTCAGTGATAGTTATTTCTTCTGGTGGCGGATAGCATTCCTTCTTCTTCACAATTAACTTTTGATAAGAAGCAAAAGTCACTATATCCTTGTCGATTAAAAAGGTCCTTAACGCCAAATACTGCCATTTCGATGAGTTTAACGCCGTCACAAGAGCCAGAGTCTCATCCTCACGAACAGTTTTTTTTTTATTGAAGGATGTGAATAAAAAACCGTTGACATCTTTTACTTTTCTGGAGTCTCTGGATAAGTATTCTATATTCTTAGCGAAATCGATTTTGTTGTTTCCCTTCAGCTTTCCGACGAACGCATACAGCAACTCTTCTTCATCATGTTCTAATAAGGGGACCGTTCATATTTTCTTTTGTTTAATGCCCAAATCTGTAAAGGTTTTCCTTGTTCGTCGAGTATTAGTACTCATATCTGATGTAGATGATCCAGCTTCTTGAGTAAGCGAACTTAGTTGTTGTTCTTCAACGTCCATTATTTACGGAATTAATATTGTAGCAAAGTCCAAAGTTTCACTTATCGGCCATGAAATATTGGCTTCTAGCCATGTTTTATTTTACTTTTTTTAATCTGCATTCGTTCCTGATTGAATTTGGCCATCTTCTGTACAAGTTCGCGGTATAGTTACGGCCAAGGCATATTAAACTGGTAGAAGCGGAAGAGTTGCAAATTCGATTTTTTCATTTTCACGTATAAGCTAAATTGTCAAACTATGTTTACATCTGATGAAAACAAACTGAATTGTCACAATTTGCTTTCACGTGGTTTGTGCCAGTTTGCGGTTAATTTATAATTATCTAATCTTGCTATTTAGTGCGATTTAGTGCGATATACTATATACGATACTGTGTTTTGTGGGAAGTGTTTTGATTAAATCAAAGATGGGAAAGTGCGTTCTCTGCAACAAAAAGCGTGTAGAGGGTAGAGTTCCCTTTTTTATGGTCCCGCAGGAGCCACGTCGGGTGGCTGATTAGAACAGAGCATGTGGCATCACGTTCACAGCAAAGCATGTAGTTTGCGGGGAGCATTTCGCGAGCTCCGATTTGATTGGTGGCGCACAACGAACGCACTTGATGCCCAACTCTGTTCAAACACTCTTTATAAAACCACCTTTGTAAGTATGCTTTAAGATCAGAGCCTTAGAATATATATGCATGTAGGTGGTAAAATTGAAATATTTTAGTTGTGGAAGTGACGGTGGAAAAAATATGTGAACCAATTGGTTACTTAAGTCATCCCATAAGTGAAACAATTATATCAGAAGTGGTAGAAAGTGGTTCCGTAGGAACCAATGCTCAATGTGTGGCACATTCTAGTTGCCACACGCAAACTTAGTAAGTTGTTTAATGCCATACATATATATGCATATACTTTTCTACGCAGTTTTCTTCTTCCACAAAACAAATTAAACACCTTCTGTAAATTTGCTTTTAGATTTTATTTGTTTTGTAGACAAAAACGTTAGATGGTCGTGGAGCGATATTTCCAGCGCCATATGTATTCACGCTGCCGGACCCCGAGCATATAGGCACCTGTATACGAAAGGCTTCCCCCTGCCACATATAAGCACACTTCAAAGGTGGTACCGTAAAATTAAAGTTGGTGAGGGAATGTTATCCGTTGCATTGGACTTAATGCGCCACATTCACGAGCTCACTGCCGTCGAGTTTGTGTGCTGGCTTTCGACGAGATGAAGGTCACCGAAGCTTTTGAGTATGAGCCTACCGACGACTTCGTCAGGAAGCCGGCAAATTATGTTCAAGTGGTTATGGCGCGCGGATTATTAAAATCCTGGAAGCAGCCAGTATTTTACGATTTTGATTGTAAAATAACCGTCGAACTTTTGCATACAATTATTTCGGCTGTGCAAAATGCTGGCTTCCCTGTTCTTGCGATGGTCTGCGATATGGGCCCATCCAACCAAAAGCTTTGGAGAGACCTCGGCATCACTCCAGGTATATATTTAATTCACTAATACATTTTCTAAAGCTAGTTATCAATTAATTAGAACACCCATGGTTCACCAACCCTACTGATCCAGAGGCGAAGGTTTTCGCATTTGCGGATGCTCCGCATCTGTTGAAACTCATCTGAAATCATTTTATTGATAGTGGATTTGTTTGGAAAGACCGCATAATAACCACGCGCGCAATAGTTGATGTTATGAGGTACACATCTGTATCCGACCTATCTATAACATTCAAGTTAACAGAAGAGCACTTAGCTGTAAAAGGGATAGGTATGTTAATAATAACTATTCTATAATCTCGTAGCTAATATAATTCACGCAAAATTTCAGGCAGACAAAAGGTAAAATTCGCGACACAGTTGCTTTCTAACACGACTGCAAAAGCCATACTGCGCTGCTACGCTCTGGGGTTGGACATAGAAGAAGCGATTGAGACAGCTGAACTAACTCAGTTGGTGAACGATTGGTACGACGTTCTCAATTCCTCCGTTAAAACGTTCAATTATCCTGGAAAGGTAATATTTCATAAAATTCACAACTTATTATCTGCATATAATTTACTTAAAGGAACCATTTGGACGGAAGAGGCAGCGGCAGCTCGAGATTTTGGGACGCATGAATAATTTCATATCAGATGTTATCATCCCTCGCAAAAATAGCTTACAACAATTTCAAAGGGGTGTTTTGGTAACAAATAACGCAGTGCTACAGTTGTACGAGTATGTGGTAGTGATTTGCTGGAGCACTTCTTCGGAAATATACGAAGCAAGGGATGATTAAACGACCACCCTACGCCGAAGGAGTTTATGTACAGGCTCTGAAAATACATTTTAGGTAAGTTTGCCAAAAGTTATCTTTTAAATGTATATTTAATTGTATATTATCCACACCTGTATACCTAATCTCAAACCAGTTAGCGACATTATTCGGATCGCTATCGGAGGTAGCTGACGTGTGTTATGAATGTCGCAAGGTTATGATAGCGATACGATATTTGGCGCTGACTCGTTTGAGGATAGCCCCTCTGAATTATTTTCCAGCAAGGAATGCCGAAAATCTGAACAAAACAGGCAACGCCGCGCAGGATTCTGTTGAATGGCTGAACACATCAAACCCGCAGGTGTTGTATGGAAGCGGGATGTTCGAAAATAGCGCACTAGATGAACAGGAAGTAGGAGAACCAGAGCCTTTGGCAGCAGAATCAGAGGCCGTTGACGCGACCGATGGCGATGGCGATGTGCTGGAATACGATCCAGATGTGCTGGAAGGCGAAACCGATATGGTGGAAGGCGATAGCGGTGTGCTGGAAGGCGACAGCGATGCGCTGCTTGGGGGAACCGATGTAATACATGGCGATGCTGATGTGCTGCATGGCGATGTGCTAGAATATATGGCTGGATATATAATTCGCAAGCAACATCTCAGCGAGCACGAAGACACCAGTAACGCAACTTTTACGTGGGTCGATCAGGTGTCGAAAGGGTACCTTAAAAAGCCTTCACCCCTTTTTGTAGACCGTATTAGGAGCTTGCAGTCGGTATTCCTTGCAGTTAATTTACAGGAAATAGCGCACTGTAAAAATATAAAGCAGCGCCTTCTGAACAAAGCAGCTAACGTAGACCTTCCAGACAGCGTCAAACAGTTTTTCTTAAATGCCGGATACTGTTTAGAGTGCGCCACCTAAATAAACAATTGAAAGTGAAGAAGGCAAAGCAAAGGCTGGTACGCTACAAAAAGTTAAATAAAATCACTCTTTAAACTTGTAAAATTAAATATTAAATTATTTACGTTCAAACTTCGAATCATATTTATATTTCAGAAATCGTACCCAATTGAAATTGAGCAGGCGTACGTCTTAGTACAAGCTTCCAGGCATTAAACACTGTCAGTACCTACCATTGTCAGTATTATATCCGCACTTACATTTACATATATATGTTTCTTTTATATAATAATCTATGTGATAGCTTAAATATTTGATGAACTTAATGATATGTACGTAAATTTCTATTTTGATTGCAGATACGTATTTCCGTATCACAATTGGAGTTGTTGTCTGAGCAAATTCAGTTGAAAGCTCCATCATTTGTGGTCACTACCATCAATCCAAACAAGCACATCCACGCGCATTTATATCCAATGGTGTTTATTACACCGCCGGATACTGTTTAGAGTGCGCCACCTAAATAAACAATTGAAAGTGGAGAAGACAAAGCAACTGCTGGTACGCTACAAAAAGTTAAATAAATTCACTCTTTAAACTGGTAAAATTAAATATTAAATTATTTACGTTCAAACTTTTAATCATATTTATATTTCAGAAATCGTATCCAATTGAAATTGAGCAGGAATACGTCTTAGTACAAGCTTCCAGGCATTAAACACAGTTAGTACCTACCAGTGTCACTATTATATCCGCACTTACATTTACATATATATGTTTCTTTTATATAATAATCTATGTGATAGCTTAAATATTTGATGAACTTAATGATATGTACGTAAATTTCTATTTTGATTGCAGATACGTATTTCCGTATCACAATTGGAGTTGTTGTCTGAGCAAATTCAGTTGAAAGCTCCATCATTTGTGGTCACTACCATCAATCCAAACAAGCACATCCACGCGCATTTATATCCAATGGTGTTTATTTACACCTTAGAAGTACCTTCGAATGTTCATAAAACTTTGATACTTTGTACATACCCAGCAAGAAAACGTACATTTTACGAACTTTTTATCCACGACTTTTTATCCAGTTTCTCTTCAAGAAAATATCCAGTTACGAGCTCGTTTGCGATGATTTTGCTGGCTGGGTACGTATATATGGCCCTTATTATGAGTATCTAATTTATTTATTTATTTTTTACAGTCTGTTAGACTTATATTGCAACAAAGATTTAACATTCTTATAACAAGATTTAGATTTAAAATGTAAATATTAAATATTAAATACAAAATACAAAATGCTCTACGGAAATTTTTAAATAACATTATTTCTTTATCACTGCAATTATTTTATGTCAATATAAACGCATGCAATTTTTTGGAAGTTATGTAGACGGTTGGAAAGGCCGAGTTTCTAATCCGCGCTATTCTTTTTGGGTTACTCGATTTATTGATATCTCCTGGGTGGTCGAAAAGGCCGAGTTTCCGATCCACCAAGTCGCGCTTTCGTGACGGTTGAAAAGGCCTAGTTTCCAATCCGCTCGGTTATTGTTTATTATCTAAGGGTCTAGGTAGTCGGAAAGGCCGAGTTTCCGATCCGCCTAGTCTCGATATCTTGGTGGTTGGAAAGGCCTAGTTTCCAATCCACGCTATTGTTGATACATCACTATCTTGTAGGCTGCATTCTACAATAGTCAAATAGCAGCCGCTTGAAAAGAGTGATAGTATCACAATTTTTTATAGCCTCTGGTAATTCATTGAAGCACTTTAAGCCTTTATAGAAAATATTTTTTTTGTCCACTTCTGTTCTATACTTCGGGAGTCTGAAGCTGTTATTCTCTCTCAACAAATATGTATGCGTCTCATTTATATATCGGAGATTATCGCTAAGATAATCCGGCAGGTTGCCCTTCTTAATATTGTACACAAATTTCATAGCGTGGTAAAAAACTTGTTGCTTCACGCTTAACCAATTCAAGGTCTCAAGCATACATCTTGTTGGTGTGTCGTATGGTTTGTTGAGGATGAATCTCATCGCTCGGTTTTGCATTTTTTGCAGCTTATCTACATGGGAGTCCCCCGCTAGGAAGAAAATCGTGGGGCAGTATATAAAGTGCGGTTCTACTATTGACCTGTACACCAACGTTTTATATCTTCTTCCCAAGTACTTACACGATCTCTTTATAAGGCCAATTTTTTTAGCAATCTTGTTGACTGTATACTCAACGTGCTCATCAAACTTTAGTTTGTTGTCTATGTATATTCCTAGGTACTTGACAATTTTCACCTCTTCGATATTTTCATCTTTGATTTTTAATTCACGGCTTATGGAGTCAGCATTTGCCGCTCTGGAAAATACCATAAAGTTAGTCTTTTTCACATTCAGTTTGAGTTTCTTTGAACACAGCCATTGATACAAAGAAATAAGATCTTCTTGCATTTTGACAATCGCATTTGGTAGTTCCCTATCACTGATCGTTAACAAGGCATCATCCGCAAAGAGTTTTATTTTACAATGTTTGAGAGAACTTTTAATATCGTTTATATATATATTAAAGAGTAGGGGTGCCAAAACTGAGCCCTGTGGTAATCCGATGTCTACGGCTATCTTACTATACATCTTTGAATTAACTATTGTTTGTTGCCTACGATTACATAGAAAGCTTCTAAACCAGTCAAGCTCAGTGTTTTTTATACCAATGTATTTTAGTTTATCCAACATTCGGACCCTATCAACGGTTTCAAATGCTCTCTTAAGATCAATAAACACTGCCACTACATTAAGGTGTCTGTTAAGACCTTCTTTCCATTGAGAAAGCACCAGATTCAGCGCAGTCTCACAGGAATGTTTAGCTCTGAATCCAGATTGTTCTTTTATGAGTATTTTATTGGATTCCACATAGTACTGTAGCTGGTTTTTCACAACGGTTTCTAGCATTTTTTCCAAGCTAGGGAGAGTATTGATGGGCCTAAGCTCCTCAGCTTTAACCGTTTTTCTAACTTTCTTGACGGGCACTATTGATGAANTCCAAGCTAGGGAGAGCATTGATGGGCCTAAGCTCCTCAGCCATAACCGTTTTTCTAACTTTCTTGACGGGCACTATTGATGAAATTTTCCATTCTTCCGGTACTGATCCTGTCTGGAGACTCTTATTTATAAGTAGGGCATAGAAATATCCCATATAATCAGCAGAGTCCTTAATAACACCTTCAGAAAGTAGGTTGTTTCCCCCAATTTTCCGCTTAAATTTTTTGGCAATTTGAAGAATGTCTTTCGTTGAGACCTCTTCAAATTTTAGCGTACTTGTGGGAGCTCGTTGCTCGAAAAGATCATAGTTTACACACTCTATATTGGTATGTATTTCCAAAATGCTGTCCACGAAAAAATTGTTTAGGTTTTCCGCAATTTCAAAGCTGTCTACGTAGTTGGTGTTATTTATTACACTTCTCCAATATTTTCTTTGACCTCCGTGTTATTGACTACCTCCTTTAAGTATTTCCACAGGAGTCGGCTGTCACCCTTATTTATTTCCACCTTATGCTCTAAGTATTTAATTTTTTTACACCTTACCATTTTCTTATACCTGCTTCTCCCTAAATTATATTCACCCCAGTACCCTGAAAACACTGCTTTCTCACGGGATTTAGATTTATACTTGTTCATCTCTGTCAATTGCCTATCATACCATTTGTTCCTCTGCTTAATGCGAGTTATTTTTGAGTAAGTCAACTGCCTCATGGCCCACATAATGCAATGAGTAATATACTCCACCATACCGTCAGCATCGAAAAAATTTAAGTTCGAGAAATCGCACTGCCTTAGTAAAGTTCTCAGGGTTATATCTCTCCCAGGATATTACTTCTGCCTCCTTAGCAAGTGGGTTAAGTTTATTGACATTTAGTCGAAACATTATTGTTTCGTGGTCAGATATTCTATGATCCTCGACCTTTTGGCATATAACTCGGTTATCATTGGAATACAACAAGTCGATACGTGTTTCCGAATGTTCCGTCACCCTCGTATTAAAATTTATCAGCTGTTGCATGGCTTGTTGCAAGAAAACATCATTGAGTTTTCCGCTGTAGGTTGATACTACGTTCATGTTTATGTTAACATCGCCAATGACAACAGTGTTCACAGAATTTTCTGAGATTTCTGCTAAGATATCCTCCATATATGTAACAAATTCCGCATCACTTGAGCTTGGGGAGTGATAAACCACCCCGAGCTGGCACCTGGTATCACAGTGTGTGAGTTGAATAACTATACACCAAACATTTTTTTCTAAAGCCTTGTTAGTTATTGTTTTAAAACCGAGCGTGTTTCGAACGAGTATTATCACTCCCCCTGTGTGTCTACTGTGTGAGTCGCAGCGTATCATCTGATACGCCGGGAACATTATTTCCGTATCCTCTATGTCATCAGTTAGGCATGTTTCGGAACACAAAAGTAGATCCGGGTCGGTAAAATCTATAAGTATTTCTAGCTCAACTTTATTAGCCACTAAACTCTGTATACACCTGGGTGAGACGTAAACTCAACGCTATGGTCCCCACAAACTTGCTGTAATTGTTAGTAATTTACAGTGTTTCTTTTATGCTCGAGCTTTTTCTGGTATACAGGACACTGTGGGTTAAAGGTCATATGATTTTCATCAAGCCCTAAGTTAAATTTTTTATTAGCACGAATGCAGTTTATGCATTTGTTTAATGTTTCCTTAGAACATTCCACAGCTTTGTGGTTATCTAGGCACTTGAAACATACCTCATCGGCTTTACATTTCGCAGCTATGTGGTTAAATCCCTTGCATTTGAAACAGAAAGTAACTTCCATTCCATCTTTGGCTCTACATTTTTCCCAACCTATGTTTATTTTTTCGCTTGCCAGCACGGCTGCAAAGGCATCTACATCAATTTCTATTAACGCATTATAATGTTTTGCATTGCCTCTTTTTGTTTCAAAACATTTCAAAATTTTGAAATTATAATTTTTGAAGCATTCATTCTGTTTTTTTATCATATCCGAAAGCTGCTCATTCTCATGTTTAAAGCTCATTCTATATACCATGAACCCTGGCTTGGCTACGTTTGGGATTTTTATTTCATATCTATCACTCATTTTATTCTCTATTGCCTTTTTGATTTTTTCACGCTCAGCCTCATTTTCTGTTTGTATTACTACAGCCCCACTTTTCCTCCCCTGTACACTATTAATTTTCAAGCCCGAGGGGTCAACATTTTTGTTCAAATCTTCTTTTGTTTTATCCACTTCCTGCTTCTCTTTTGGTTGTAGAACTAATGGCTTCTCTTTATTTACTTTCGGCAGCCTATTATCTTTCGCAGTGTTACCTTTAAAGAGATCCGCATAAGAGGCTTTCGCCCGCTGACCTGCTAACGCGTCAGCAGTCACCGCTTTCTTTATCTCTTCACAAATTTTTTTGTTCTCATTTTCATTGCGCACTATGGCTTCGCAAAGATCATGGCTTTGCTTTTTTACGCCGTCAGCTATTGACTTAAGGCCGGTTGCTCAAAGGCTGGTTGACACTAATCATCGGTTAACATCGTTATCGACGTTTTCGACTCCATGCATATAACACGGTGTCGGTAACGTCGATAACGATGTTAATCGGTGATTAGTGTCAATCAGGCTTTGAGCAACCGGCCCTTAATTTGGTTCACTTCGAGAATACTCGCCTCACTGGTTTTTTGTACTCTTT